TGGGTAAGTCTATATTGTACTCCCTACTCGAACAAGAGACTTGGGATTTTACAAGAGACCAAATTATACACCCTAACTTACTATTCTTAAAATTTATGACAGTTCTACATAAATTATTTTTAAAATCATTTCCACAAAAAATTGCAGTTGGCAATAAGGTTAAAAAGTTTCATCAAAACTGGTTTGACAATGAACTACAAAAAATGAGAGAAGGCTTATTAATTGTTTCACAGCTTTGTAAATCTTTTCCAGAAAATACACATTTAATAACTCAGATAAACAAATTAAAAACTAAATACAAAAAAACTATTATTAACAAAAAAATTAAGTGCAATGATGCAATAATTAAAAAGTCAAATTGCCCCAATAAAACAATGTGGAAAATAATTAATGAAAACAGGGGCGTACTTGGACACACAACTGCTGATGAATTGAACAATTTTTTTACTAACATTGCACAACAAATTACAAGTCAAATTGTACCCCCTGGTCTTAATGCTGTTAACATTATTGACTCTGGCCTAACAAATCAATGTTTCTCATTTAAGAAAGTAACGTTTAAGATGACAAGAGACGTCATTGCCAACTTAAAGAATTCAAATACTTGCGATATATTTGGGTACAATGTAAATTTGATCAAAAGTGTCAAAAATCTCATTATAGGTCCCTTAACCAACCTGAGTAATGCCTGCATCTCTAATAGTGTATTTCCGGATATCCTTAAAGATGCTTTAATAGTGCCAATTTACAATTTGCCAATAATATCAAACAATTTGCCAATAATATCAAAAATTTATGAAAAACTGCTGGTAAATCAGATGTCTGAGTTCTTAGAGTCAAATAGCATATTTTTTAGTAAACAGTATGGTTTTAGAAGAGGTAAAAACACTACTCTTGCTATACTGGATCTGGTAGAGCACGTCTTGTCCTGTTTGGAACGAGGGGAACACAATATCTCAGTCTTCTGTGATCTCTCGAAGGCCTTCGACTGTGTATCTCACGACATATTGTTACTTAAACTTAAAAAATACGGTTTTACTGACTCAGCGATCAAACTTTTAAGATCGTACCTAACAAATAGGTGTCAGACAGTGAAAGTAAACGGTTTATTCTCAGCAAAACAGTTCATTAAACATGGAGTGCCCAAGGGTCAGTACTTGGGCCTATAATGTTTCTTATATACGTCAATGATCTTCCTTACTTTAATGATCATGCTAAACATGATCTTTTTGCTGACGATACAACTATTACTACCAACAGTAAACATTTTAACAATGGGATGCACACATTAATCAGCTGGCGTCAAAACTTGGCAAGGGTATTTATGTTTTGAGAAACCTGTCACACTGTGTCGCAAAGAAAACGCTTAAAACGGCCTACTTTTCTTCATGTCACTCACTACTCTCTTATGAAATACTTGCATGGGGAAGAGCGTCCGAATGGAAACGCATTTTTGGGTTGCAGAGGAAGGCAATTCGTATACTAGCAGGCTTGGGATATAGAGATGATTGTAGGACTACATTTGTGGAACTGGGTATAATGACTTTACCATCTGTATATATCTATGAGGTATTAAAATATGCTAAGCTGAATGTGGAAAAGTTAGCATTAACTATAGTTAGCTAATGTAAATCATCCTTACACCCCCAGATATAAGAACAACCTAAGACTGCCACAGTATAGACTTACAAAATCTCATAAAAGTATTGCCTTCACTGCACCTAAATACTTTAATAAACTTCCTGTTGCTCTTAGAAACCTAGATTAAGAACTATTTTTAACTAGAATTAAGATGTTCCTTAATGATAAGGCTTTCTATAACTGTGATGAGTTTTTAAACTGTAATATACCAAATCTGTGATAAATGTTCTTTTATACATCTTTTGTACAAATAAATATTGTCATGTATGTTTTTTATTTTTTATATATTCTTTATGTCATGTAAAGTTCTTTTTCTATCTGACTTGTGTAATACAACTTTCTGTAAATAACACCAATAAATGATTTGATTTGATTTGATTTGATTTGATTTGATTTGATTTGATTTGATTTGATTTGATTTGATTTGATTTGATTTGATTTGATTTGATTTGATTTGATTTGATTTGATTTGATTTGATTTGATTTGATTTGATTTGATTTGATTTGATTTGATTTGATTTGATTTGATTTGATTTGATTTGATTTGATTTGATTTGATTTGATTTGATTTGATTTGATTTGATTTGATTTGATTTGATTTGATTTGATTTGATTTGATTTGATTTGATTTGATTTGATTTGATTTGATTTGATTTGATTTGATTTGATTTGATTTGATTTGATTTGATTTGATTTGATTTGATTTGATTTGATTTGATTTGATTTGATTTGATTTGATTTGATTTGATTTGATTTGATTTGATTTGATTTGATTTGATTTGATTTGATTTGATTTGATTTGATTTGATTTGATTTGATTTGATTTGATTTGATTTGATTTGATTTGATTTGATTTGATTTGATTTGATTTGATTTGATTTGATTTGATTTGATTTGATTTGATTTGATTTGATTTGATTTGATTTGATTTGATTTGATTTGATTTGATTTGATTTGATTTGATTTGATTTGATTTGATTTGATTTGATTTGATTTGATTTGATTTGATTTGATTTGATTTGATTTGATTTGATTTGATTTGATTTGATTTGATTTGATTTGATTTGATTTGATTTGATTTGATTTGATTTGATTTGATTTGATTTGATTTGATTTGATTTGATTTGAGTTGATGACACTTTTATTTCTGACTGATTAAATTTATTAGCTTATTAGGCTTTATTAGTACAGACATTTTGTAAAATCACTTATTACTAAATAGGTAAATTATAAAAAAAAATTTCAACATTTCATTAGAAAAGGTACGCAAATAGATTTTTTTACAAACTTTGCAATACGATATGTCAATATTAATAAAAACGTGTCAGTTAGCTTAATAAAAAGACTTTTTAGCAATTATATTATTTGTCAGAGGAACATTTATCAGCAATTGTGCAAATACTAGTACAAATACACTTTAATAATAATACTGCAGGTTAGTCATAGATTAAATATTATATGTTTATAATTCTGTGATGTATTATTTGCATTGAAGATTGAGGTTATGTTGACGGTTGGTACTACCAACTGCAAGATAAATTACTAAAACGCAATATAAATTAATATTTTTAAGAATTTTCTGTCGAGAATTCAACATAGGATTCACCTCACCTGCTGCAGATATTTGTTCCTTGTGTACTTGTCTTAGACATAACATCAAGTCCGAAAAAGACACTAAAAAAAATCCGATCTCATCGTAATAATAATAATAATAATAATCTTTATTAGTGTTTTTAAAAGGAAGTACAATTTTACACACGTCATACAAGAAAGAAGAAATTACATTTAAAATAGATTTAAAAAGTGTGTACAATACAAAAAAGTGTATATTAAAAATAAATAACATTTATATGGATACAAAATTTACAGTAACTAGATAAAAAGAAAAAAACAACTATATTGATTTAATTTAGGAGGTAGCACTATATCACAGCATTTAAATACTCTTCAAAAGAGTAATAGGCTTTTTCAGTAAGAAGTCTCTTTATGCAACATTTAAAAGCATTTCCGTTCATTTGCCTGATGTGTTCAGGAAGCTTATTATAAAAGGCCTGAGAGTAGTACGATGTTGAGGTTTTTGATTTTGCTAGCCTAAGTGAATTTATTCGTAGGTCGGTTTTTCCCCTTGTGTTATGGTTATGGATGTTCATCCCCCAATTATATAAAGGCAGATTGTTTTTTGCAAACAAGATACATTCGTATATATACCTTGAAGGTACTGTCATTATATTTAGGATACTGAATTGGTGCTTTACATCATCCCTAAATTTAAGCTTTGAAATAATTCTTATCGCCCTTCTTTGTAAGGAGAAAATACGTTTTGCATGCGCCGACTGACCCCATACAAATATACCGTATATACATACACTTTGGAAAAGTGCATGATAGGCCGTAATTAAAACGTTTGTATCTACTGCAATTACCAATTTTTTCAACACAAAAATTGCCCTACTCAATTTATCTGAGATTACACTTACATGGTTTTCAAACTTTAATGTTGGATCTAGATGTATTCCTAAGAAATTGACATTTCTGGGATAATCCTCATTATCATATTTTCTTAAGGAGAATATCATATTTATTGTTTTGGTTTTATTGAGACTTAAGCGCATTGAGGAAAACCACTCTTCAATACTGGAGATAGAGGCACTCATGCAGGCCTCAAGCTGACTTTGGTCATTATGTATATTAATAAGAGTTGTGTCATCTGCATATAAAACTAGCTTACCAGTTGGCAAAGCTGTCCTTATGTCATTTATGTAGATAATAAATAGTAGAGGCCCCAAAATAGATCCCTAAGGAACTCCATAACGATTTGCCTTCACTTCAGAAAACTCTCCACCATAGAAAGTTACCTGCCTCCTATTGGTGAGGTAGCTGGACATCAATTTCAGACCCACATCACTCACCCCATAATATTTTAGTTTTTCAATTAAAATTTCATGCGAGACACAGTCGAAGGCCTTGGAGAGATCACAGAATGTAGAGCCTACATGCATGCCCTCCTCAAAACCCTCCACCACTGCCTCACAGAGTTCTGTAACTGCTAGAACAGTAGATTTATTTGTTCGAAATCCAAATTGATGAGTGCTAAATAACTGGTTATATTCAAAATACTCATAGAGTTGACATTTAAGCAATGATTCAAAAATTTTAGATAATATTGGGATGAGTGCTATGGGTCTGTAATTGCCTATCTCCTTAGTGCAACCTTTTTTATAAACTGGTATCACTTTGGAAATTTTAAAACAGTCAGGATACACTCCATCGTAGAGCTAAGAATTCACAGAAAATGATCGAAGGCTTTTTATGACTTGGCAAAAGAAAACCCTCCCAACTCAATCACTTTCTGTTTCGATATGCAACAAGTGCAACCTTTACCGCGTACCCCTATCTCAGATTCTTTTTACTCCCATCAAGTGAGTTTGTATGTATTTTGCTGCGTTGGAATGGACTCTAAATTTCCAACATTTTATACATGGACGGACGATCTAGCCGGAAGAGGTTCAGTTGAGATTGGTTCTGCACTTCTAGCTCACCTGGATACTCTTGACTATGAAGGCAATAAAGTGTTGAGGCTATTTTGCGATGGCTGTGGGGGGCAAAATAAGAACTCGCATGTAATACGTGCTCTTTACCATTGGCTTAGAGTGAAATCCCCAAAAGGAGTCGAAGAAATCCAGGTGACCTACCCCGTCCGAGGTCATAGTTTTTTGCCTACCGGTAGAGTGTTTGGGCGGATTGAAAAGACTCTATGAAAAAATACGACGCTAATACAAAAAAAAAGATTACTTGAAGATTTATTCAGAATTTGGCAATGTAAAACAACTTTCTGTTGACTGGAAAATCTATGATATTAAAAAACTACAAGACAATCTTAAGAAAGTTCAGGGCAAAGAATAATCTTACAAAAAGGTAAAACCAAAAAAAGACTGTGTACTGTTAAAGCTCAATGTCATCAGAACTTTAAATGCGTCAATTTGAATGAGTCTCCACAGAGTTTATTGAAGAGAAGAAAGACTGATGCAAATGAGTTGGACGAAATTAAGTTAGGTCGCTCTCTTCCTGACAAAAAAAAACTATTCGTCATCTTATGGAGCAACAGTTCGGCATTAAGTGGGAGGAAGATGAGAATTTGGAATGAGGATATTGTCCGAGGGTGGAAGAGAATCTGATGATCCCGAGGAAGAAAACTAAGACGAAAAATGTGACTGTTTGGAAGATGACTGTGGTCTGCACATCTAATCTTTTGCAATGTTTGTAGGGTTTTTTTTGTTTTGGAATATTGTTGTTCTTTTTCACGACTTTAGAGTCTATGTTTATTTAAATGTTAAACTTTCAATAAAATTTATTTAATAAATTTTTTTTTTAAATTTAATATATGTGTTATCATAATAATAATAAAAATGACAGGTATCAAGTTGACAGATCATCTGTCAACTCGACACCTGTCATCTTGTATTTGTCAACTTGACACCTATCAAATAAAAAACCCGTTTAACATTTTAATTCGACGGACATTTAGCTTGTTAATATGCATTTTTGATGTATGGTTTTTGGGTTTGTTTTTATTTTTTTGTTATGCTCTATCAATCATTAAAATTTTTCAAATTAATCCTGGACCACCCTGTATACTAGGGTGGAGTGAATTTTATTTAATTTATTAATTGATTTTTCCTATATTATTAATTGTTGACTAAAGGCGTAAAATGAATAAATATCGAAAAAATATTCCAATTTTTTAATATCTTGAGGTGGCGCATCAGTCTCGAAGTTTTGAAAATTCTAAAAAAATATTACTTTAATCAAAGTAATAAAAATAGCATTATTTATAAATAAAAAATTTATTTTAGTAAAATTAACGTGAAAAGTAAACATATTTAATAGTAAATCATATGCTTTAAGTAACTTCAGGAGTGTTTATTGGTAGAAATTAGATCTTCTTTTTCGCGAAAATACTGACATTTGATATAAAAATTTGGTAATTATTTTCTGACTTTAATTCTTGTTCTGATGAAACCATCTCTTACTTCCGATCCACAAACCGAGTCTGAAGATTCAGTATACTGGTTATAACCAGTTTTACACAGTGTTCCACTGCTTGGGTGTGACACTGAAATTTTTGGAAGTATAGGAAATGGTCACCCGAAGAAATCATATCGGTAATTTCTGTCATCGTATTTCATAGTCATAGGTGGTTCAGTTACCTTTTCTGTCGCCCAGTGAATTAACTCGTAAAAATGTAATGCTTCAGTATTTAGTTGTGGAAGCTTTAATTCCCGTAATCTCGAACATTTTGATTCTTTTCTCGCCTTTAATATTTTCGGCAATGCTAGTTCTCTGATCGATAGATATATTGTAGGTAACATAGCTAGTAATAGGTTTTCGGGATAAATATTAGCTATAGCTTACAAAGATCCAGGCAAGATAGCACATTCCCTATGGCTGACGTGGGCTAATAGGATATAGAATAATATTATTCGTTTATATGGGGGGACAGCAAATCCATCGGAAAACCTAAAAGAATTGGCTACTTTTATCATGAAAGTGTATGCCCCAACGTGGTTTTACATCAACACCAAGCCACGTGCAAACATGGTCCTATTCACATATTTAATATGACTAAAAGAGCATTTCACCTCCAGAAAAACTTGAAGGCCTTATAACTATAGTTATAAAGAATATTCAGCGAAATATTTATCCCGAAAACCTATTACTAGCTAGGTTACCTACAATATATCTATCGATCAGAGAACTAGCATTGCCGAAAATATTAAAGGCGAGAAAAGAATCAAAATGTTCGAGATTACGGGAATTAAAGCTTCCACAACTAAATACTAAAGCATTACGTTTGTACCAGTTAATTCACTGGGCGACAGAAAAGGTGACTGAACCACCTATGACTATGAAATACGATGACAGAAATTACCGATATGATTTCTTCGGGTGACCATTTCCTATACTTCCAAAAATTTCAGTGTCACACCCAAGCAGTGGAACGCTGTGTAAAACTGGTTATAACCAGTATACTGAATCTTCAGTCTCGGTTTGTGGATCGGAAGCAAGAAATGGTTTCATCAGAACAAGAATTAAAGTCAGAAAATAATTACCAAATTTTGATACCAAATGTCAGTATTTTCGCGAAAAAGAAGATCTCATTTCTACCAATAAACACTCCTGAAGTTACTTAAAGCATATGATTTACTATTAAATATGTTTACGTTTCACGTTAATTTTACTAAAATAAACTTTTTATTTATAAATAATGCTATTTTTATTACTTTGATTAAAGTAATATTTTTTTAGAATTTTCAAAACTTCGAGACAGATGCGCCACCTCAAGATATTAAAAAATTGGAATATTTTTTCGATATTCATTCATTTTACGCCTTTAGTCAACAATTAATTATATAGGAAAAATCAATTAATAAATTTAAAAAAATTCACTCCACCCTACTGTATACATCAATGTATAGAACGGTTTTTTTAATTTCTATTTCAAGCAAATGGAGATAAATCCTGTCCATTCAAGCAAAACTAGATAAATCCATTTTTTTTACTAAACACATGATGCAGTTGAACAAAAAATAAAAAATGAGTTTTCAGGTCTTATAACACTATACTCTATGGAATGCATGCGTTGTTCTGTTTGGAAATGTTTCAGAACGAAAAATATTAGTTTTTTGCTGATAACTCGAAACTGTTCAAAATGGATTTATCTGCTTTTGTCTGATTGCTCCACATTTGACAACTATTCTTAAAATTTTGGCAAATAGAAATAATAGTATAAAGCACTTATCTCATAAGACGTTTTCCTGCACTCATTCATTAGAAAACTCGCTCCTTTGTTTTTTTTTGTAAACTTGTCCTCGTGAGGGAAAATTACGTCTTATGGCATAATCGTTCTTTACATTACATTTAATAAAAAAATAGAACTAACATTAAACTCACTTATAATCCCATTACAAAATTTTATATGCATAATTTTCCTACGTCAATTAGCCATTTTAATTTTGTTTCCCTTTTAAAGAAAAACAAAATAATTTTTTAAATTTGAGTTATGACGATAAATCGCATAGCATTCGCTAAAACAAAATATTTTTCATTTTCTTAAAAAGTTTTATACATATCATGGCACAACAATGATTATGAGTATAAGAGGCGTATAACCGGCCCCATTGCCTTATAGCTCCCGGGCCCCGCAAAGGCCTCTGTTTCCTTACGCCTTACGGCTTCACCCGTGTTTGCTGGGTGTGAATGTCTATTCCGACCCGTACTGTCCCCTATTTAGGGCTGGAGAGCGAAATGCCAATAGTTTTATGCTATACGCCCAGAAGGGTCATGAAGGAGGTAGGACAGGAGGGATAGACATTTTGGTGTTTGGGGGACAATTACGCCGACTCAAATCTAAGTACGACCCGGTATCCCCCTAGACCAGGAAGTTAGTATTACTCCAAACATTTGGGATTACTGTATGGAGTTCGGGAGTTGTTATTTTGCTGCAGGGGCCTACGTATTGGTCTACGTTTTGGTCGTTATTGTTCGTATCCGTGTCCAAGTAGTTCTTTTATGTTTATTACCGCTGTAGTGCGAAATTTCTAACAATTTTTTATTTATTGTGTTACCCAAGCACGTTAGTCGTCTTCGCTGAGTTTGAATTTTAAGTGTCTGTTTTGGTCTCGTTTTGTTTAAATTTTGCTGAGGCCGTTCTCATAAATTAATAAATTTATTTCCTTAGGCGTGTGTTGATGACAGATTTATTGTTCTACTAAGCTTTCGTGTAAATTACCTTAGGATGGGGCGGTTTTATTTTTTTTTGTTATATGTCTTTATTTTTGGTGTTGGCTTACTATTGTCTTACTAATGTTACTATTGTTTCTGATGCACTTTTACTTTTACTTTATGTTTTTTTTTCTAGAGTTTAAGCAAAGTGCCTAATTTAAGTAATTATGTGTTAGGTCATGCTGATGTTTAAGGTTACTTATCCGATTTTGCACTACCCTTGGTTGTCATCTTTTGTTTGTCTCGTGAAAATCGTCCACTTGACAGGTGGTAAGACCATCCTGTAGCTGACACTTATCACTTCACACTTTCTTGAGCGTAGGGTAGTCTACTCACTATAGATGTTACACTATATTTTATTTGCACTTTAGTAATTATTTGTGGGTTTTAGGCTTTTATGTTTTAAGAGGTGTGCTATGCGAGACGTCTTGCTGTTTACTGTTAGTTCGTGACTGCCAAAAATCATAGCACGACTCTTAGTAATCGAAATTAAAAAGAAAGAAAAAATGAAACTAACTACATATATATAAACTATATATAATGATTCGGTCAACAGTCCCGCGACTCCCTGATCAGAATAAAAGTGCGAAGTGCATAGTGATCCGGTGGTTCATTGTGTCGGGAATCTGAAATAGATCAATCACTGGGGGACAAAGGATCATCGGCAAAATACAGATAAGTATTTTAATAATTATGCAGAACTTTATTCGCAATACTTTAAAACGTACGAATTCAGTAAGCCTACGAACCCTTCTGGTGGGTTGAATAATGAACCAACGAATTAAATAGACCAAAAAATACCTAATGCCTATTCAGCAAAGCAAGTTTGACTTAAAATTAGGTACCTAGGTATTTTGCCAGGGCCCCACCGCCCGGGGCATCCCGAGTGCTTCTTCTCATTTTTAACTTTTTTTAAATAAACTGGGAAGTAAACAGAAAAGATTTTCTTCTTTAAAATAAATAAAATATTTTAAGC